GACCACACCAACATATGTTCCAAAAGCACCGCTCATGACTAAATATGAGCTGCAGCCTAAATGCGTGAAGTTATTTCAAAAAGGAAATTTCCATCCTCTCCCGACCATCTGGGTAAATGGATATATGGGATACAAAATGGGGAAAGGAAAAATTTGGTATCTCCCTAGGAGACGTCCAAAACATGATGTAAGTTGGCAAACATCATTTACTGGAGATTATATTAATGGCAAGAGAATGGTTGGTATTAATGGGAAATTATATGATTGGGATAAATTAAGTATATGGGAAAGAAACTGTAGAATTCCCTTTACTTGGTGGTGTCCAGTTTTAAATAAATCATTAAGAATCAGGTGTTGGGATAAAAATATATGCTGTACAATTATTAAACCTACAAAATTAGATCTTAGAAAAATAAGAGAGTCCAACTGGTTTTGTGAGGGATGGTGCTGTGCACAATGACACTTTGACATTTAGAACAAGATTACAGGGCCACAGCCAATGCATATCCTTAAAATGTGCATGATAATGCTGCTCAAATATCCACTGTTCTTTTTCCATATGAACAGTAGGTTCATTCCATTAGAACATAAAATCATTAGATCCCCCATTAGAATTTAAATGTTAACATTTTTCCTTTTAGCAAAGTTGTATTTACATTTAAGAATAGATATAGGTTATCTAAGACTTTGTAACCAAAATAGCTGCCACCCTGTTAATAGGGTGGATATTAACCACAGCTTGTTAACAGAAAAAGGTCACAAGATAACTTCAAGACAATGAAGGGGTGGTTTTGATCTGATAACCTGATTCCAGGAAAAAGAAGCATGATTTGATCACCTGAGACATGCTGACAAAAGGAAAGGACTGGCTGACCTCTAAAAAAGTTTCCTNTCTAAATAAAAGGCATTGTCTCATGCTCTACTGGGCTCCAGCTGCAACACACTGACAGCCCTCAGAGAGAGAACATGCATATTGATGCATTGAGGTCTCCATCTGTGTTTGTTATTTTCGCCGACCCTCTCCATCCCTCTTCGGTTACCCACCCCTCGCTGAAGCTGGACTTCGGCACCTAGGCATGAAGCTAACCATGGAAGGCAGAGCAGAGAAGGGGATCCCAGGTCCTTTGTGACATCATTTGAGCCGCTATATCAAGCCTCACCTGAAGCCAGCCCTAACCCTGGACTTTTCTATTATGTGAATCCATAAGTTTTCTTTCTTTCTTTTTTTTTTTTTTTAAAAGATGACCGGTAAGGGGATCTCAACCCTTGGNCTGTTACATGCCAGGCACTGTTCTAGGCACTAGAAATACAGTAGTGAACAACATAGACAAAGACCCCTGTCCTTATGTAACTTAAATTCTGTGGAGGGAAAAGGCAAGAAACAAGATAAATATACAAAATATATAGTACAGGGGGCTGGTGGGTTAGCTCAGTTGTTTAGTGTGCAGCCTTACAAAACCATGGTCACAGGTTGGAATCCCCCTACCAGCCAGCCAGCAAAAAAAAGAAATCAATTAATTAATTCAATACAATATATAGTGATGGATTTTGGACACGGCCGGTGCCATTGTGCACACAATAAGCACCAGCACGAAATAGCCGCCGGCCTCATCTTTCACTCCAGCACCAAGCCCCTCCCCCTTCCCTTTATGAGAAGCCTCCTGATTTATAAACAACTTTCCAGCTTCTGCATCGGCACAGTTCTCCACCCAATTACATCAACCTAATGGTCCCTCCCCCCCGTACATTTTGTGCCCAAAAGCTAATATAGACTCTCGCATACCCATTGTTCCTGCTGTCCCCCATTTTCAGGGCAGCCCTGGGCTG